TGATACATTATCAGTTTAGTACTTCTGAAAGATGATATTAATAGAATAATCTTGAGAGTAATTAAGTGCAGTAGATACAGAATTATTAACTCGAGGGTAAATGAATCAAAATAATTTTCCCTACTTGAAGTTACTCTGAGTTTATGAATAAACTTGTTTGTTGAACCTCCTTCTTGGATGTGCTCTAACAAATATGTGTTTAATGACTTTGTCAGGGGAATTTAGGTAACGGTTATGGATATTTATCACTAACTAATGTTAAATTAATGTATGTGTGTTAGAGAGTTGTTTTGACTGCTCAGAGAGGAGCCTGCAGGGACACGGAGGCACCTGATAAACTCCAAGACCTTCTCCTCGTAAGCTGGAAAGCCGAGGTGGTCTTGACCTCGGCTCTGTCTGATAAGCATGTGTAAAGCTCTCTGTCCGGCGCAGATTCTCACTGACGAAGCTAAAAGCATGTAACTTTTGTACATCTGTTGAGCTTCCTCGTGACCGTCTACCCCTGCAAGTAAACTGGGTTGAAAAATCTTCTTGTGTCCTCAGAGTGGCTTATTTGAGTAAAGATATTATGAAAGGATATTTATTTTATCCAACATACCCCCCCACAAGTTATCGACTTTTGTGAACAGATGAATTCACAGATGTCCTCCTCCTAACATCATGTTGCTCGTGAATGATTAGGAAAAGATCATAAATCAATGCACATAAAAAATAATTTATCTCATCGTATCTTCATTTAGAACTTGATATTAGCCCACATTTTGTAGAGAAGGGATTAAAACAATCCGTACTGACCAGCAAGGGATGTTTGAGAAGCAGTACTTAACCTCAGCATCTTCACATTTAGTTTATTAGCATGTTTGGGGATGTTACATGCATACCATGATTAATTTTTTCTCTTCCTTCAAACGTCTTGTTTTGGCTCGATTTGCATCAAATCTTTTCAAGTTTTACAGCTAAAACTAGTTCCCTTTGTCTTTTTTTGTGCAGAATTTTGCCCTGGGTAAAGGTGATGAAGAAGTAATCAGCACCCTGCAGAACTTTGCAAAGACTGTGGGAGAGGTGAGGCCTGTAACTTCTTATGTGTTTGTGCAGTGGGAAAGGGTGAGGATAAGCTGCAGCTCAGTTCTTGTTTTTTTTTAATCACTTCTTCATAAAGAATTTTGCACATGCGCTCCTCTAATATTCTAATCTAAACTAAAAAAACTCAAGACCTGCAGATTATCGCCACAGGTAGGCCGGAACTGAGGGTCTAAAGAGGAGATGAATGTAGTGTGTGGTGTGAATATGCAGATGGAGCTCATATTTATAGATAAAACAGGTGGGCCCATACTCATCAGCCACAGGGGTTCAGGAGTCTGCCCAGTCAGGATTTTCAATGTGCACTGAAAAAAACACATCACAGATAGTTAGTCTTCTGGACCTAATCTTGTGAATTTTAGCATTTGCTAAACCCCTGAGATTAAACTGAATGTCTGTATGACTCTGATGATAAGCATGAGGATAAACAGCAGGGTCTGCACACACACACACACGGGGCTTCATCCAGAATCAGTGTAAATAGAAAGTTTAATTATTTTCTTCACTAAAACCTCTCTATCGCAGCGTGACTTTATCACAGCCTAGGCGAGGCATTGTTCACCTCCATATCAGTGAAAATGATGTTTCCTGTCTTACTGGCAGAAAATGTTCCAGTAAATATAAACTGAGGTGGTTCAGATGTTTGTTGAAGGTTCAGCTTCAGTTCGTGTCCTTATATGTAATCTGTTTGTGTGATTTCAGCTAAACTCTCTTCACTCTGATTTAGCCAGTCAGATGGCTGACAGCATGGTGTTTCCTCTTATTCAGTTCAGAGAGAAGGACCTCACAGGTAGGGGAACATTGAAAAGTGAAAAAAAAAAACAACCAAAGAATAAAAAACAGCTTGTTGATTGTGTAACTGAACTTTGCAGAGATAAGCACCTTGAAGGAAATATTTAGCATCGCCACTGATGGTGAGTATTTTGTTTGTAAGAAATTGCAGGCAGTGTATTTAAATTTTTGTGAATGATGATTGAACATTTACACTTTTTTTCCCTTTTTAAAAGAATTATGTGTGTTGCAGTTTATTAGTTAAAAACATTTATGCAGGAGTTGGGAGCTATGAATTTTTGATTTTTGTAACTTTTCATACTTTTTATTTTAACTTTACTTTGCTTTAGCATATTTGTTTAATTTTTTTCCCTTGTGCAACTTTTAGTTTTTAGCTAACGTTTTGCTACTTTCAACAACTATTTTGCTGCTTATTGTTTAAAACCACAGTTCTGTTCCTTTTAGCTACTTTAAGGTTCAAGTTAATATTTTAATACTTTAAACTTGTTAATTTTAGCTTCTAGCTTCTGTTTTGCTTTTTCAGTTGGACTTGTGCACATTTTAGCTTTCAACTAGCCTTTTTCTGCTTTAAGCGTCTAGCCACCTTTTTTTTTTTTTGCTTCTTTTGGCTTTTAGCTAGCCTATTTTTACAGTTAGCTTTTACATAGATAGAATTTAGCTATTTGTAGCTTTTAGCAAGACTTTAGCAATTCTTAGCTTTTAATTAGTGTTTTTCTTCTCTTTAGTTTGTAGAGTTCTATTTCCTTTTGCATTACCAACTCATTTGTTGCTTCCTCAGAAGATTTCAGTAAAATAATTTCTGCATTTACGGTGTATTTTTACAGAGAAGGCAGTTTCTCCAGTTGTTATTTGATACTTATGTCCTTTCTCATCTGCTGTGCAGAGCATGAGGCGGCTATGGTCAAATACAGTCGATTGCCCAAGAAGAAGGAGAACGAGAAGGTAGAAATGCTGCAGAGGTTTTTTTTTCCTCATCCGTGAGAAACCGTTAAAAGCTTCACAGCACATCAATGCTCCTGTTAATGCAGTGAGAGTTTTATAAGTACTGGAGACAATATGATATTAAAGTAAACGGCTCTATGCTGTCTGGCATGAGTGTGCCCTTAAAGCACTAAGTATTCCAGTATAGACTTTGCATCTCTTCAGCATGTTGGCAAATCTCTTTGAATGAACAAAAGAAAAAACCCTACAAGCTTTTTCCTGCTTTGCATGCCAGAGAGCAAGACACGAGTTTGCATACCTTGTGCAGACCTTCACAGTGAGTTTTTGTGGCCTTGTGTGCAGTGTGTATTTGCATGCTCAACCCTCTCCTGTGTGGACAGCTGAAGGCCGACTTGGTGAAGGAGGTGGCATACACCAGGAGGAAGCAGCACCAGGCGTCACTGCAGTATTACTGCGCCCTCAATGCCTTGCAGTACAGGAAGAGAGTGGCTATGCTCGAACCAATGCTCGGCTACACTCAGGCTCAGGTACTGAGCTGCTTCTGACCTATCCACTATGTCCAATCTTATCATGTCAGCATTCAAATTCAGTAAAAGTAGAAGCTATTGACTCCATTGAACTGATTTAGTTCACAAAGGACCGTTGTTTAATGTAATAAATAAGTGCTCTGGAAAAATAAGCGTTTTATTTTTTTTATCCTAGCACTGGCCTAGAATTAGAACTGAAATAATTTGATGGGTAATAGAAAGAAGGGTGGCTTCACTATTTTTCCAAATAGGTTTTGTTTTAAAGAAAGAAAAAAAAAACTGGGTTCCACTTTCTAAAACACATTAATTCATAGTTTCTACCAAAATGTTTGGATTCATACTGTTGGTGGGATTAAAAAGGATGCCTGAAGTTGCTTTTAATTGTGGTTTTGCTAATAATGTGTTTTACTGCCATATACAAAAATTATAAGACGTAAAAATATTTTCATATTTAACTGTATAGGAGAAAATTCACTCACCGTTCACATTATTAAGTCCACCTGTTCAATTGTTAACACTTAGCTAATCAGGAACCCAATGCATTCAGGCATCTAGACGTGGTGATGATGACTTGTTGAAGTTCAAACCAAGTATGAGAACAGCAAAGAAAGAACTAAAGTGACTTTCATCTTGACATGGTTGTTGGTGGCAGTCTGGTTGGTCCCGAGTATTCCAGAACCTGCTGACTGTGATTTTTATACACAACCATCTCTAGTGTTTTCAGAGAATGGTCCAAAGGAGAAAATGTTCAGTCAGCTGCAGTTGTGTAGATGAAAATACCTTTTCGATGTCAAAAGTACATAGAAGAATGACACAAAGGCAACATATTAGCTATTAGCTATATGATTAGCTGTTTCTGTTGACAAGCAGGTGAACAGGTGCACCTAGGTCTAAATTAGTAAACTACAAATGTTTTATTTTACAGATTAGCTTCTTTAAGAAGGGCATTGAGCTGGTTTCAAAGAAGATGGAAAATTTTCTCTCCTCTGTGTCTAAAATGACTCAAAAGTAAGACACTTTCAGTTTTAATGTGTATTTCAGTATAATTATTATACATGTGTTGTGTTGTGTGTGAGCTTAAATGGAAATTCTAACAAAGTAAGTGAGGTCCTCTGGACAGAGTCTTCTTGTTGAAACATTTTGTCTTTTATCCAAAAGATTGTCAGTCTAAGGAGCTTCAACAAAGTCAGTCTATAAATAACACCTTCTTATAGTGGATCAACCAGTTTGTTGCTGACAGCCAAAACTAGCAGTTTACAGGATAAAAGAGGACCGTCAGCCTAACAATTGGTCGTTAGTGCCCTCATGACCGCTTGCTATTCAGAGTGATACTAGCAATAACAGCATTGTAAGAGGGGTACAAAGGGACATGTAGACCTTCGCCCCTGTTTAATGGTGTATGGGGGTGGAGGCCTCCGTGTCTAATTGTCCCCCTCTTACGATGCCGTTGGTACCCCTCGGGCCGTTCACACGGCACATATTTTGAGTGAAACCGCAGCTTTTCCTCTGTGGTTCGGCTGTTCATTTACACACCACCACCCCCTGCCCTCTCTGAATCTGGTGGTATTTCAACCCAGGTCTCAGAGTGGAGGTTTTCAGTGGAACTCCCCGCTGAGGTGTGAAAGCACATGTGCACTACAGGTGTACATTTCATGTATGCACGGACCAACGGCATATATCTCTCACAATGGTGCCAGAGTGTAACATACTGCTTTCTGTGCTACGACTGATAGAATATAATTTGTCTCGTAGTTGATCTATGTTGAAGTATAGGCGCTGTGACAGACATCTGTGTTCGAAAGAGACTCCAGTCGGATCCAGTTCAAAACTGCTAACGAGCCTGTCGAGGCAGGCATATACTGCACGCGTGGCGCTGGACTAGAACATACTAAATGTGTTAAATAATAACAGTAACAATAATAAACAGTATTTCTGTTCGTGGTAGGAGATGTAATGAAGATATCCGAGTTAAATGAAGGTATCTGGATATTATGCAATTCAAGTTATGCAATTTAAACTGTTGTTGATAATGGAAAACATGTTATTAAAGTTGAAAATGAAGACATCAGGTTTAATTTTTATTTATTTATTCAACACCACAAACTGTATGTCACACAAACACCGATAATTAAACTGAACACTATTAAAATCATGTTAACTGAACTTTAAACTACATTAATGAACTGGACTCTTCCTCTCTTGTCATCCTGGGTTCTGACGCCATGTTGTTTATCTGGCTTGTACAGGCTGTCACTCCTTTGCTTAATGCAGCTTAAAACATTGAATGGATTGGGAAAAAAGAACTGAGGGGAATTATAAGTGAATAGATGCTCCAACATCTCTCTCTTTTCAACATCCTCCTGCACCGCCGAGATGTATGCTCTCTTTCGGAACGCTGGTGGGGGGGCAGCTTCTCCTCTCAGGAAAAATAAAAACTTGGTTATTTGTGTAACCCAACAACACAAGCAAACATTATCAAGAATGTGGATTTACCTGCTGTAGCATTGCTTGACAGCTACTGATTACCACCGAAGTGGGAAGTCCAACATCATCCTCGTCGGTGCTGGTTTGCTCAGAGACCAGTGTCTCAGTGACCAGTGCTGTTAGACAAAGCGGGCCAGCTTGACGTCAAATCTGTCGACTCGTATCCAAAATCCAGCTTTAAGGCTTTGTTGTTAGCTGGCCATAGAAAAGACCTGTCCTAGGCTTCGCACATGCGCATTAAGTGAATGTACATGGCAAATGCAGTGGACTTGGGGAGTGGGGGTGTGGTCTACAGTTACATGTAAACACCAAATACGGTCGTGTCAACAAGGACTTTCCTCGAATCAACATCCGAAAAACTGCGTTTTCTCCCGCGTGTCCCTCAGCCCTCTGTGAATAGCAAGCAGCCATCAGGGCACTAACAACTAATTGTTAGACTAATGGTCCTGGGGGTCTGAGATGGTGTAGAGGTAGGACTTGGCACCAGAAAGTTGCGGTTCTACTCCCGGCCATGCCCACATGCTGTGGTATCCCTGAGCAAGACACCCAATCCCTAATTGCTACCCGGGCACCTACATAGCTGCCCACTGCTCCACCTGGGTGTATCTCGTGTGATCGGTTAAATGCAGAGAACTAATTTCATCATTGCATGGGAACATACGATGCCAACACATAGCACTTACACTTACTTACTCCTTTATCATGTGCCCAGCTAGTTCTGTATGTCACTAGAAAACTGGCTGATCCACAGTGAGGAGGTGCTGCTGATAAGACTGAGTTTGTTGTGGCTCTTCAGACTGAAGAAGTTTTTTGGATAAAAAAATTTTACGTTTCAACAAGAAGAATATGTCCAAAGGACCTGACTCAGTCCTGTTGGATTTTTCTACCTGTATTATTGAGCATGCATCATGACCTGTTTCAACAGATATTTTACTGACACTATAGACAACCACACACAGGCAATTACATTTTTTGCCAGCTGTCGAAAAGCAGGCATTAAATGGAAATTATTTCACTGAGATTATCTGTATCTTCGTAATATTCCTTGGGATTTTTACATGTCCAGCCCTTACATTGTATCATGTCCACACTTTTGTTGGTGTGTGTGTGTGTGTCTGTGTTGGCAAAATATCTCCTGAGCCACTGGAGAATATTTCAATTAAACTCTCAAAAAGTAGTCACTGGATGTACATCTAAAACTGCTAAACTTTTGGAGGCAGCCCAGTTCAAGATGACTGTCACATAGGATCAATCTTGTTTTTCTGTTTAGTATCCAGGCCCAGTTGGACGTGGAGGCAGAGGCCATGCGTACGTCCCAGAAAGAGCTTTTGTCTGTTGAAGACACGGTCTATATGCCAGATAAGGACACAGACTCTTTTAACCGCACACTTATTCAGAAGGCTGGCTACCTCAACATCAGGAAGTAAGAATAATTACACTTGGTTTGACCTTATCTAGATATCCAGTGACATTTGCTTTTCAATGGTGCCTCTCAGCGTGTCAAAAGGTGCTGTGGAAGAAGATAAATTTAGTAGCTCTTGTGTGTTTTATAAGTTAGAAAATTAAAGAAACCACCTAAATAACCAAATTAATCAAATATTTCCCATCCTGTAATGCCTGCATAAAACCTAAACCGAGAAGGAAATTAGTCTGTCAGAGAAGACAAGGTGGGTCAGATAAGACGACGACAGCATGCTCCGTCAGCTCATTGTAGGGTAGATGTATGAGAAGGGGAACTTCCTTAATGGCTGGAGCGGATGAAAGTGCAGCGTTGCACGCATTTTGATTTAGTGAAAATGTCAGAGCTGTCAAACTCTGTTGCTACCTCATATACATCAAAACTCTTTTACAAATGTCTGTGACACCAGTGAAAATGTTTCCATGGAGCACCGCCCTGCACCTTACCTACAACCTCAGATGCTTTGCAGATGGAGTCAGGCCATGTGCAATCTGAAATGGGTTTCTCAGTATTGAGGTTCAGAGTCACCCAGTGCACCATGAGCCATCAGTGTTGTACAGATAAAACATATAAAGGATACTACTGTGAATAGGATGTAGAGGAAGAAAACACACAAATGAAAACATTTTTGAGTCATGCTAATATTACTAATTTGAACCTCTAAATTTATTTCAGTCATTTGCTACTTCCACTGTCCAGAAAAATGGGGACTGTTGTAAAGAGGTCACAAAGAGAGTCCAGGCAGGATGGAGTGGATGGAGAAAAGTTTCAGGAGTGATTTGTGACAAAAGGGTGTCGTTAAAGGTCAAAGGAAAAGTTTATAAGACAGTAGTGAAACCAGCTATGTTGCATGGTCTGGAGACAGAGACATGGACAAAAAGACAGGAGACAGAACTGGAAGTGGCAGAAATGAAGATGTTGAGGTTCTCCTTAGGAGAGACAAGGATGGATAAGATTAGGAATGAGATCATCAGAGGTACAGCACAGGTTGAACAACTGGGAGATAAAGTTAGAGAGACCAGACTGAGATGGTTTGGACATGCCCAGAGGAGGGACAGTGGTTTGGACATGTCCAGAGGAGGCACTATGGGTATATTGGTAGAAGGATGTTAGGAATGCAGCTGACAGGAAAAAGACGAAGTAGAAGGTCAAAGAGGAGATGCAGTATATGGATGCAGTTAGAGAGGACATGGAGGTAGTTGGTGTGAGGACGGAGTGAGATGGAGGAGGATGACTCACTGTGGAGACACCTGAGGCGGGAAAAGCCAAAAGAAGTGTCTATTACAAATTATGACACTGTGTAGCCTTCACACTTCAGACTTGCTCATCTGATGAACTATAAGTGTGATGAGAGTAGGACATTAGCAGAGTACTCGAGTAATCTACACATCGATTGCTAGGACATCTATCGAGGTTAAAAATGTTACGTCGAGTATCCGTAGTGACGTCATATTATGTGACCACCGTATGACCGTAGGGGGCGGTGTTGTACTGTTGCAGGTCACAGAGTGTGGTGTAACACCGGGTCCAATCCACCGAACCAGAACCAGCTTCGGTTTAAGTTTCATTTTTGACGTGCTGCACGTTTCTTCACGTTTGCAGTTTAATAATAACTAATAGTTTAGTTTTTCCTGTGACTTATTTGCAGTATGATAAATGGTAGGAGCATAATATACACTACCAATGTTTTGTTGGTCTTTTTTTTTTGTAAATAATTTTTTTTGCGGTTTTATTTATTTATTTATTTTTGTATCTTGAGATCTATGACGTCGTCAAATACTCGAGTTCTACTCGGGTTTTATTATGTTAATGTCGAGTTTAAAAATTATATATTCGTTCAACCCCTAGATGAGAGTAACTTGATGTTGGCACAATAATTTTAGGTGTTTTAGGAATCCGTTCACTGATTTTGATCTCAGCAGCTGTAAGAAAATGTATTTATTGCAGATTGCAGAACGTCGAAAGGTGGACAATAATGTTTTTTCCAGTGTGTGTGTCTGTCAGCCAGTTGACTAATAAAACAAACAAAAAATGGTTCTAACTCTGCCAGTTTTCCAGAAATTGATCTAACATTTGCTGTGACAGTAGCTGAAACTGCTACCCAACACTTACAAGTTGTGCAGATTCTTTGTTAAAATTTTTGTCAACTATTAAGACTTCAGCTTTGTCTGTCTGTGAGCAAACTATCTCATGAACACCTGAACTGGACTACAATGAAACACACAGGACATAATCGTTGAACGTACCCCTACAATTGAATAACTTTTGGAGCCATCTTGATTTAAGATGGCTGCCACAGCAAATTCATCTTAAAAAAAAAATGCAGCAATGGCTATATTTCAGTCAATTCTACAGACATTGTCCTAAAATATGGTTTAATTGTTGCTCGGAGTCATTCAAAACAGATACTTTCAGTTCTAGATCTTAGCATTAAACTGAAACTGAAAGTTAAACTGGGTTTCTTTTTCAGAAACAAATCCTGTCTAACCTTGAATGCTAGAAAACGCCTTGTATCTGTGACTTTCCTTCCCTCAATTGATTTTGGTGATATTATTTACATGAACGCTCCTACAAGAACCCTGCAGATGTTGGATGCTGTCTATCATGGTGCACTAAGATACATAACTGGCTGTGATTATCGTACCCACCACTGCACTCTGTATTCATTGGTTAACTGGACATCATTAACTTCACGCAGACTCTCTCACTGGTACATTTTCATCTTTAAATCACTTCTTGGTCTGCTGCCTTCATACATCTCCTCCTACATGTCTCTGCGTGAGTGCAGCTACAGCGTGCGCTCTCAGGACATTGTTACCTGCAGTGTTCCCTCAGTGAGGACTGAACTAGGCAAAAGGTCCTACTCCGCTCCTGTTTCCTGGAATATCTTACAAAAAGATTTGAAGCTCTCAACCTTGACCTCTCTAAGTGGCTTTAAGAATCTGTTGGACTCCTGGCAGGGTCCAATGCAGACATGTTCCTGTTTTTAGTTTTCTACATTTGTCTTGGAATCTAGCTGTTTTTTGTTTTGTTACCTTTTTCCTTTTAGCCATCCTATTTGTTATAAAAAAAAAATTAAAAAAAAAACTGTAGTATGAGTTTTTATAACTGCTTATTGTTGTTGCTGTTGTCCATTGTTGTCATCTTTCTTTGTTGAAATCAGGTCTCTCTTGTAAATGAGTCCTCGAGGCTCAATGGGATTTACCTGTATAAATAAAGGTTGATTGATTAAACTTCAGCATGAATTGTTAGTCAACCTGTTAGCAAAATGAACAGTGCAAAGAGTTTATTCAAACTTTCAGGAATAAATCAATAGATGGAGTTCTACCACTGATTATATTTTGGATTCAAACCATTATTTTAAAGGTTTGAGTAAAATGGGTGCAACTGTGTCTTTTCTCATCATAAAGTGATCTTTGTAGAAACTCTGAAGGCAGCGGAAGATACACAAGGAATGCTAGGCCTTTAACTGTGCCACAAATTCTTATTTCTGTTTTTCTTCTTTGTCCAGTAAAACCGGTCTGGTGACCACAGCCTGGGATCGACTTTTCTTTTTCACCCAGGGGGGGAACTTGATGTGCCAGCCTCGGGGGGCTGTGGCGGGGGGCATGGTGCTGGACCTGGACAACAGCTCCGTCATGGCTGTGGAGTGTGAGGACAGACGTTATTGTTTTCAAATCACCTCCCCTTCAGGAAAAACGTAAGTTTCCTCTCTCAGCATTAATGGATCCACACAAACTTACACAAGAGAGAAGTGTGTTCATATTTTAGTCTTTGTCTTCAGGTCTATGATTCTACAAGCTGAGAGCAAAAAGGAGTATGAAGAGGTTAGTGTGAACGAGGAAATGTTTGATCATAAAGTGCTGCTGCAAGTATCCACCATAAAACAATGAGGAAGCTGTTGAGCCTCACTCCACTGCATGAAGACCTTATGTGGATATTTGTGTTTGGTTCTCAGTGGATCTGCACGGTGAACAACATCTCCAGACAGATCTACCTGACAGACAATCCTGAGGTAAAGTTTCACATCTACTCACAGGCATGCACATCACAAGTGAGAGACAAAAAGAAATGTATATAAAACAAACATGTTGAATAAAAACAACTTTGCACAGAGAGAGGAGTCTCACAAGTGCCTTTGAAAACACGTCATTATGTGTAAAATAATTAAATGTCTGTCATCTCAGGAGTCAAGGGTAAGACTTGTAGCTGATACTTTTGTATTTGTACAAAATATAGAAGCTATAATTATTGACAATATTAGATCAAATTAAAGGTGTAGTATTACTTTAAAGAGCACATATCACCTGCTGCCTTTCATGCCACAGACTAAATGGTCCACACTTACAGGTATATAGAGCATTTTAACCCTCTGCAGGTTCTATGATGTAAAGTGCTTTACCACGTTTCTCATTCACCCTTTCACACAAACACTCATACAGTGCTTCTATTAAATATTTTTGCCCACGATATGCAGCACTTTTGTATTCTCACTCAAAGCAGCATATCCCCCATTGGGAGGTGAAGGGTTCAATGTCTTGCCCATGGACACTTTGGCTTGCTGCAGGGGCTGGGGATCAAACCACCAATGTTCCAGTTGGAGAACTCCAGCACCCTAACTCCCTTGTAGATGATGCCATGCAATACCATAAGATGTACTGCTCAGAGTGTGAGTTGTGTGACTCTCAGCTACTACCACATCGACTATTAGCTCAATTTCTGTAAAACTAACTGAGTTACAGACATTTGTTTTCAAGTCAATATGCTGAGGCAGCCATCTTGAATTGGGCTGATTCAAAAATTAATTGTTGTAGATGTACATCATATGATTACGTTCTGATAGTTTCAGTAAAGTTTGTTCAGTGATTCATCACACACACACACACACACGCACACACACACAGTAAAGTTATCACGTTTTGCATTTTGTCAATAATTCAGATTTCAAACAAACAGCAAGTTATTAAGTTAGCTGGTTGGGTGAAGCTCTAAATCTTTAAGTTTTCTCTGTAAGATATCCAAAAAAGTTCAATCCCTGAAAAGGACGTCAAGGGACACCACCAAGTCATTGGTTCAGGTATGTTGACGACACCTGGGTTAAAATTAAATCTCAGGAAGTCCAACATTTTACTGACCACATCAACTCTGTGGATAAATACATCAAGTTCACAAGAGAAGATGTAAAAAATGGCAGGTTGTCTTTCTTGGACTGTGAGGTCTCAGTCTCTGATAAAGGACATTTGCAAACCGAGGTGTACCGCAAACCCACCCACACAGACCAGTATTTGCAGTTTGACTCCCATCACCCTTTGGAGCACAAGTTAGGAGTCATCAGGACTCTGTACCACAGAGCAGACAGCATCCCCACTAGCTCAGGAGCCAGGCAGAAGGAGAAATCCCACACAAGACAGGCTCTAGAGCAATGTGGATATCCTAACTGGGCCTTCCTGAAAGCAGAGAAGAAACCCAAACAGGACTCCAGTCAGCCATCAGGTAAAAAGGAGGAACCCACACCCAGACCAGTGGTCATTCCGTATGTTGAGGGAGTATCAGAGAAACTGAGACGTTTATTTTCTAAACATAACGTCCCAGTGGCTTTTAAACCCCAAAATACATTACGGCAAAGACTGGTTCATCCCAAAGATCCAGTCCCCCGGCACAAACAGAGTAATGTTGTGTATGCTGTTCAGTGTCAGGAGGGCTGTGATCAGTCTTACATCGAGGAAACTAAAGAGCCACTGGCCAAAAGGATGGCCCAGCGCAGAAGATCAACATCATCAGGCCAGGACTCTGTGGTCTACACTCATCTCCAGGCCAGCGGTCACTCTTTCAGGGATGAAGATCATGGTTTTATCCAACAGAAAGCAGCAACCAGAGAACCCACCTCAAATTGAAACCCAAGAGGGAGAACAAATAGAAATGGTCTCCACCTACAAATATCTAGGTTTCAACATTGACAATAAACTGTCATTTAAAATCCACATCTCCAAAATGGTCACTAAACTCAAATTGAAGCTTCACTGGGTGACTACTTCAGAAATAAATCCTGCTTCTCATGTAAAGCCAGGAGAACATTAGTAGCTGCAACTTTTATGCCGATATTAGATTATGGTGACGTGCTGTACATGAGTGCTGCATCAAAATACCTACAGTCCTTAGACTCAGTTTATCATGGTGCCCTTCGATTCATTACTGATTCCAATTATCGCACTCATCACTGTGAACTTTACGTCAAATCTAGCTGGTCTTCTCTCAGCGCTCGCAGATACACTCACTGGATATCCTTCATCTATAATAAGACCCTTCTAAACCTAGTCCCGTCATATCTTACCTCCCTAATACAAACATCACACAATCATTACTCCCTGCGCTCTAATGATTTAATCCTCCTGTCAGTTCCTCTGGTCAGAACTGAACTAGGAAAAAGAGCATTCAGCTTCGCCGTCCCCTCAGCCTGGAACAACTTACAGACAGATTTGAAACTATCAACACTCATCTCGCCTAGATCCTTCATGTCAACCGTATCAGATAATGTTATCAAAAATCTGGACCATTGCAGATGTTTCTAAAACACTACTTATCAAATATACATGTCTTGTTCACTTTTAACTCTGTATACTTAAACTGATGTCTGTTCTACATTTAATGTCTACAGAAGTCTGTCTTATCCTGATGGTTTCAAACTGTTAACATTTATTTATCGTGATAGTAGTTTCTTTTTTCTTTTGATAAATGTAAATGCTTATTGTCAATTACCCTGTGACGTGTGCTGATGACCACTTGACCAGGTCACCCTTGTGAAAGAGATCTCGATCTCAACAAGCTCTACCTGGTAAAATTAAGGTGATTGATTGATTGATTGATTGAAGATGTTCACATCCTGGACAGAGAGGAACGATGGTTTGAGAGAGGAGTAAAGGAGGCCATCTTTGTGAAAAGAAATCGTCCATCATTAAACAGGGGTGGAGGCCTCCGGGTTCAACTGTCCCCCTCTTACAATGCTGTGATTGCTAGTATCACTCAACCCCCTGTGAATAGTAAACAGCCATCAGTGTGCTAATGATCCATTGTTAGGCTGATGGTCCTTCTTGACCATGTGATCAGCTGGTTTTGGTTGTCGGCAGCAAAACTGGTTGATCCACTCTGAGAAGGTGCTATTTAAGAGACTGAGCTGAATACAGCACCTCAGACTGAGGAAGTCTCTCGGATGAGAGACGAAACATTTCTATATATTTTTTGCTTTGTTTTGTTTTTTTGAATGTCCAGAGGACCAGATTTAACTTTTTTGGATTTTTATTCCTGGATTATTGAGCATGCATCAGGATATCTCTGTAAGATAGTTGTTGTTGTTGTTGTTGTTGTTGTTGTTGTTGTTGTTGTTGTTGTTGTTGTTGTTTTTTTTGTAAAACTCTATGCCCTTGGGTTTTTCCCTCCATTTTTTTTCCACATTTTGTTTTAATCGTTAAACTTTTTGTCTCTTCAGGCTGTGGCTATCCGATTGAACCAAACGGCCATTCAGGCAGTCACTCCAATCACCAGCTTTGAGAAGAGACAAGACGGCTTGCCCAACCCTGACAGGTCAGGCACAGCATTTAGTCCCACTCTGGTAAAGTAAAGTAAAGTAAAGTGCTATGTGTTGTCACCATTGTATGTACCCATACAATGATGGCATTAGTTCTCTGCATTTAACCCATCACACATGGGATACATCCAGGTGGAACAATGGGCAGCTATGTAAGCACCCAGAGAGCAGATAGGGATTAGGTGTCTTGCTCAGAGACACCATGATGTGGGCATGGCGGGGAGTTGAGCCTTCGACTTTCTGGTCCCAAGTCGGCTGCCCTGCCTCTACCTCAACCCCCTGGTGATGATATGAACCCACTGCTCATCGTTTTTAATACACACATGCCGAACATGGATGTTTGATTCTGTAGACACGCTGCAGGTTGAATACTCACACCAGGCGTCTGGCCCCTCGATATTGCGTTGTCTCTTTTTTGCAAATGATCATCGTCTTAATAATCTCATGTTTGGATAATTGATGACAAAAAATCTAAAATAAAATGCTTTCCAAGCCTGTTCTTAATCAGCTGTGCTCTTGTTTATACTGACCAGTAATTGTATCTATTATTAGATTTGCTCTGAAACAAACTGCAGTGTGAGTGGGGGAATATCAAATCCTTTTATTTTTTTACTACTTTTTTATTACTTTTGTAAATTGTAAATTGTGTCCTCAGTCATTCCCACCACAAATAAGATAGGAGTTCATCATTTCCTGTCAGTTACAGATCATGTCTGAAGTAGGCTCACATTTATTTGTTTGTTTTAATTGTTCTGTTGCTGTTTTGGTGATACTTTTTTTTCTTAAACGTCGTCTTGTGTTCTGTCCCTGCAGAGCAAAGCCAGGAGGTGTTCACACTTCTGGCACTGATTCCCAGAAAACAGGAACTGCTCCAGAACCAGCGGACCTGATAGCTCCTGGGACACCTATTCAGTTCGACATCATGCTGCCAGCGTCTGAGTTTCAGGATCAGAACAGAACTGGGGGGAGGTGAGGGTGCACCTGCGAAAGGATGCTTGTCTGTTGAGCCATGTCTAGGAAGCAAGTGGGGACATTGGTAGATGATGCTATTTTCCTAAATGTTTGCCACATTAAGTGTATTAAATATCTAAGAAGCTGAATTCCTCCTAATAAACAACTCTGGGGTTTATTACGGTAACTTTTTTTTTCATCCTTTAAGACGCACAAATCCGTTTGGAGAAACAGATGACTGTACGACAGAGAGTGACGGTAACCATATTTCTGTTCTGAATTCACTTTAATCTTCTGTACAGTTTCAGACACTGCCTATGTTTGGCTCACCTTTTTTTTTTTCTTGTTTGTTTTGAGTATTTTAAGGTCTTTTAGTCATTTGCTAGTGATTTGTGTCCAGTGGCTGATGTTTGTATGTCTCTGTAGATTCCCTCCTGCAGCAAGTATTCGTTGTACGCTTCCAGGGCTCCATGGCCGTTCGCTGTGGGAACAATCAGGAGGTGATCTATGAAGCCATGAGGCAGGTGCTGGCTGCTCGAGCCATCCACAACATCTTCAGGACCACAGAGTCCCACCTTATGGTGACCAGCAGCAGCCTCAGGTAGAACTGATCATGGTTTTACAATGTTTTACATTACTATCACCTCTAAAAACAAAGACAATGGAACTTGTTTTCTTGCTAATACTGACTGAAAAATGTCAAAACATGATTATGGAGGATTATTGGGTATCGGGTGCGAAATATTTCCACGTTAATACAGTAATGTGTAGGAAAGTGTGTTAATACAGGAAAATGTTTGTTTTCTCAGTAAATTTGAGATTTGCTGCAGGGTCACTGCACCGTTGTTTTCTGTTATCTTTCCTTTTTCACAATGTTTCACCATCCTTTTAATTAACATTACAAAATGGAGTAATTTGAACATTATTTTTTAGATTGGTTCTGTGGAAAGGTTTTAAAAACGTATCTACTTGTCATAGCTTTTTGAACAACCTCAGTTTGGGAAAAAAAAATAAAATTCTCACCAGTCTGACGAGCTAACAGTTAGCCTGAGCAGGACTAAGATCACAGATCGATCGATAAGCAGCTGGTCTGAATGTCGTATCACGGCAGTAGCTGCAACGTATGCCTCCAGTGCCCTCACTGGGCACAATAATCCAAACCCCTCACCAGGCATAGGCTGAAAACGTGCCAGCCTCAATGGTTGTTTACAATGAGAGTGAATTAACACCTTTGGTACAAATGCAGTGTTTGGCCACAAGGTAACACCAGAGCCCTCAGGTCCCCACCTGAGACATGAGGGACTGACTGGGAGAGCATGCAGCTCGCCGACCCTCCTTGCTGAGGCAATAGCAAACAAAAAAGCCGTTTTACATGAAAGCCACTTGAGGTCCGCCTGCGTCAGAGGCTCGAACGGAGGGCGGCACAGAGCTTCGAGAACCAAGGACAGATCCCAACCTGGTGCTCGTGGAGCTGTCGGCGGGTGCGACCTATGGGCACCACACAGAAAAAGAGAGACTAGATTATGGCTCCCTACTGTACAGCCATCAATGCCAGCGTGATTAGATGATATTGCCGCTACATAAATTTTAAGCGTCGAAGGAGAGCGACCCTTACCAAGGAGAGACTGAAGAAACTCCAGAATGGTGGGTACTGTACAGAAGACTGGATCCTCGTTGTGATCAGAACACCATTGGGAAAACAGACACCACCTGTTTTCGTACTGCTGACGAGTAGAGGGTGCTCTGGCGCCAAGGATGATGCATCTGACAGGGCTCGAAACTCCAGTCAGCTGCTGTCCTAGCCTCACAGTGGCCACACCCACAGCCAAAGGCGTTGAAGATTGGGGTGCCATATCAGTCCCCCCAACTGAGACGACAAGTCCCTCATGGTCGGAAGACACCATGGGACGCCCTGACATGGACTACGTAGCAGTGGTCATGCTGGCCAATATGGAGCCACCAGCAGCATCCTGTGGCCCTCCTTGAGGACTCTCTGAAATGTTGGCCCAATTAGAGAAAGGGGTGGAAAGGAATATAGGAGGACCCTTGGCCAAAGATGAGCCAATGCATCCTAGCCCAGCACACCTGACACCCACGTAAGAGAGTACCATAGGGGACACTGAGTCAACTCTTCTGTCGCAAACAGGTCTATCTCTGCCTGACCAAAACGGTCCCAGATCATCAGCACTATGTCGCTGTGGAGGGACCACTCTCCCGGAGCGGACCCTTGGAGGGAGATAAAATCTGCGACCTGATTGTGTCGCCCTGGTCAGTACGCTGCCCGCAGGGTGGACAGGCGAGGAGAGGCCCATTTCAGGAGCTCTCTGGACACTCAGAAGTTGTGCTGACCTGGTGCCCCCCTGGTGGTTGATGTGGTAGACAACAGAGGTGTTGTCTGACCGAACGAGAACATGCCCCCCTTCCAGGTGAGGCAGGAAGTGCCTGAGTGCCAAGTGCACTGCACACAGCTCCAGCACATTTATATGCCTGGAGCAGTCCTTTTGACCCCAGTGGCCCTGAACCGCTCTGCATTGCCACACAGCACCCCATCCCATGGAGCTGGCATCTGTCATGACCACTTCCCTGCGACACACTACCACTCCCATGGGGACACCCCTGGACAAATAAACTTCGTCCCTCCATGGAGTTAGGGCATGAAGACATGACCACGTCACTGCGAGCTTGAGATGCCTGTGCAGCCTGGCATCCAGGCAAAAGCTGTTGAGTCACCTCTGCAAGGGGCAAAGTGACAGCAGGCCTAAGGGCACCACCCGAGTGACTGACGTCAGTTTGCCGAGTAGTTTCAGGAAGGCAACATAGGGGAGCTGCCTGCCCAGCCTGAACCGACTGACCAGCTGGAGTACGCCGGCCACCCTTTGAGCGGATGGGCGAGCTCTCGTGGAGTGCGAATCCAGAACCACCCCAAGAAAGGTGATTGTCTGGGAAGGGATCAGGCAGCTCTTCTCCAGGTTGACATTGAGGCCCAACTGAGACACATGAGCGAGCAGGCGTTTTGTATCGTGAAAGGCACAGGCCCGAGACGGGGCGCAGAGAAGCTAATCGTCTATAAGTACGGCAGAACCTTCACTCAGTGTTCCTGCAGAGGAGAGAGGGCTGCCTTCACGCACCAAGTGAACACCCTCGGGGAGAGGGAGAGCCCGAATGGGAGTACACAGAACTGCTAGTGGTGACCCCGATAGGCAAACCTGAGAAAGCGGCGATGTTCTGCCGCAATAGGCACATGAAAATACACATCTTTCAGATCTATATAGACGTGAACCATTCTCCCCTCGTGACAGCTTGAAGGACTTCTGCTGTCGTGAGCATTTGGAAGGGCAGATCCCTTAGGTACTGGTTGAGTCCCCTCAGATCTAAAATGGGACAAAACCCGCCCGTCCTCTTTTGCACAAGGAAGTAAGTCGAGTAATAGCCTCTGGGTTGTTGCAGAGGGTCCACTGCCTCGATTGCACCCTTGGCCAGGAGGGCGGAAAGCTCCTGGTCTAGTGCTTGAGCTTTCACCGGGTCGGCGATTACAGTCATCTTGACCCGTCGTGAGATATGAGGCTGCCGTTGGAACTGTAGCCAGTAACTAACAAAGCCAAGATTCAACTTGTCTGCTGGATTCCTTAGATAGAGAACTTTACTAATTGGCTTTTATGTATGTGAATGTTCCTGTAAAGTGCCCTGAGACAACTTTTTTGTGATTTGGCGCTATATAAATAAACTGAATTGAATTAACCATGGGTCAGAGTGGCAACCACCCATGGGTCCACGGCATGAGCAGCCCGGTAACTGAGCTGCTGGTGGGAAAAATATCCGACGGTCGGCCTGGTGGCATCACCGTCTCCCTCCATGGCCCCTAGGGGCTGTGGGGGTGCGGCGGCCAGAGTCCCTGGTCCGAACCTGCCCAGCTGGTTGGTGGACTGACTCACGAAAGCTCCTGTTGGGTCTTTGCTGTACCACACGAGGGTAAAGACCGATTATGACCCCCAGGCAGCGGCCGAATGCTGGGGTCTGCTGACGAGCGCCTTGGATGCCGAGGAGGTGGAGGGGCATTGCCCTGCTAAGACTCAAAAGTTGCTGCCTTCTTTGTCCTGCCTGGACGGTCCGTTCCAGTGCTTCCAAGGCAGCCGAACCGAACAACTCCCCCGGCACCACCGAGACATTACGGAGGGTTCTACGACATGGCTCAGTCAATGTTGACTGCGCCAGCCAGACCTGTTGGCGAGCCTGGACCAAGAAGGACATCACGCGCCCAAGCTCCCTCGTCATCAGTGCAAAGGTCTGAAGTGCTGCATCGCTAAAGCCCATTGCTGCTGTCATACCACTAGTCCCCTGAAGGGACGCAGAGAGGGTAAGCATGAGGTGCGCCAAGGAATTGCCGAGGTGGTCAGCACGCGCTCTGGCGCAATAAGCTCTGCAGAAGAATTCATCCGTGACGCAACACTGAGCTCTTGGGCACCGAGCATCACTGCACAGAGCTTCCTATGGTGACACGATGAGCAAGGCAACAGCAGGTTCGCTCGCCGGCATGCAAACCAACCCTGTTGCAGCTGGCTCATGCATAGCTGCCAACACTCGGCCATCTGTGGAGAGGTGCGCAAAGACTTTGGGGTCCCGCCAGCAACCATGCAACTCCCTCAGGAACTCCTCCGATGGAGGGACAGAAAAGGAAGGAGGGGCCTGTCCGTGCCTGAAGAAGGCACTTCCAGGGGTGGACTCCTCTGGTTGCGGGATGTCCAGCTACAGTTGTCTCAGGGCCATACACATGACGTCCTGCATTGAGCCGTCACCAGACCCACTAACTGTGCTCCGAGATGAAGAAAGTGTAGTTGTCTCTGAGACTTGAGATGAATGCCCCTCCTCCTCACCTAAAAAGTGAGCGGCAGAGGCAGCCAAGGATGGCACATCTTCCTTCGGAGCCAGTTCAGGCATGGGTGGGGAGGAGAGTCCGGTTGCTGCCGCTGCCAGGACAAAACATAAGGCCGAAAAATTGGAAGAGGGAGCGCGCAAGCTTGCCGTAACCAATTAAGGCAAAGAAACTCAGACAGGTTAACACCACTAGCTCAGCTGGTAAGAGAATTGGGAGAGGGGGCACGAACGCTTGCCTTCACCAATTAAAACAAGGCCAGAACTCAGAGAGGCTAGTACCGCTAGCCCAGTCCAACCGATTATGAGGTTGTTGAAAGTGATTGGGAGAGGGGGCGTGAACACTTGCCTTCACCAATAAAAATCAGGCCAGAACTTAGGGAGGCTGGAACCGCTAGCTTGGTCCAACCATCTATGAGGTTGGAGAAAATGACTGGGAGAGGGTGCGCAAACGCTAGCCATCACCAATGAAAACAAGGCCAGGAACTCAGCTGGCTACGTAATAAACAAACTTTGGAGCACAGTCCAACCGACCACGCGGTTGCAGGCCTCCAGTAAACGGGAGCGGAGCAAACGCTACCGCTAACCAATGGCAAAATACAGTGCCTTGAGAAAGTATCCGGCCCCCTTGAACTTTTCAACCTTTTGCCACATTTCAGGCTTCAAACATAAAGATATAAAATTTTAATTTTTTGTGAAGAATCAACAAGTGGGACACAATCGTGAAGTGGA